ATCTATCTATCTATCTATCTATCTATCTATCTATCTATCTATCTATCTATCTATCTATCTATCTATCTATCGATCCATCCATTAACTATCTACCTATCTATATATCCATCCACCATACACCTTAACTTGTCATAATATATTATAACATTCTATCTCCCATCTCTCCCCTGCTCCTTTTACTGCTTACCAGTAATTCACATATTTTTTTTATCATGTTTCGCTCTTTAAAATAGCCTGTGTGTGTGTGTTTGTGTGTGTATATGCGTGCATATGTGTGTATGTGTGTGTATGTGTATATGTGCGTATATGGGTGTCTGTCTATTTGTCTGCCCCCCCCCTCTCTCTCTCTATCTCTCTCTCTTCCTCTCTCTCTCTCTCTCTCTCTCTCTCTCGCTCTCGCTCTGTTTCATTTGTAGCACCGTGCGTTCAGTAACTTCAATGCAGTTGGCACGAATACATTTCTAAATCTGTCTGTTTTTGCTTTTTGGGAAATATTATATTTCGTTTACTGTTGCGAAACTGAGTTGTCATACAGTATACTACACTTCTTCACTCTTCTGTGTGGGGGGAGAGTTAAGTAGAAGAGGGAATTGGACCAAGCGACAACAGGAACATTCTGGCTTTGTGACTCACGAAAAATCTTACGTTCTTGCGAACATTACGAAAGAAAGGATTTTTGCTTTATGTTTTAGTAAGAGTTTTACGGCACTTCCACACAATAAGGTCAAATAAGAGCCGAAGATTAGAGGTGTTACAAGACAGTAAAAAACACAAAAAGAAGGAAGAGAGATAAGGATGATAGATGTTTGATAGGAAAGAAGAAGCAGATCACACCAGAGCACTCGCCAACCACCCACAAGAAACATCTATCCTTCTGATTTATCCTCCTTCTTTTTGGTGTTTGTTACTCTCATGTAATACCTCTAATCTTCGCCACTTATATGACCTTATTGTGTTGTAAGTGCCGTAAAATTCTTACTAAAACTAAACAAGTAACATTAGCAGCTCAGAGAATCACTCATTCTTGAGAAAATTACAAGCAGAAAGGATTTGTGTTTTTTGTTGTATCAGCATAATGCGCATCTTCACTCTTTTAATGGATAGGGGGTGTTATACTGCAGTAATTTATGGA